TGTTCTTCTTGAGTTTTGCTGTCATATAGGGTTGGCTGTCACACCCCTACCCGACACTCTTTCCAAACCCTCTGCATTTTCTAAACTGTTATCAGGTATCTGAAGTCTACCTCCTTTGGAAAACTTAAATCTTCGTAACATAAACCATCTCCTGTATTCCCCTAACATGCTGTATTACTATGTACCATTATCCCTGCATAATAAGACTGTCTTTTGAGTCCTCCAAAGTAATATATACACTCCCATAAATCTCCACTCCAGGCCCTGCTCCTCCTCTCACCATTCCCCATCACCAACTACCCAAGGACAACAATGTGCCAGCAACTGGAGACTCAAAATTGTAAGTGGCTATAGTGCTGAGGAGGTTAGATTCATTCAGTCAAAAAAGTGAAATGCCTACAATGCACCAGGCTTTGTCCTAAGTGCTAGTATAAAAGGACTAAGACTCAAACCTTTTATTGCAGAGCAGCTGGGAAAAGTGACAAGTAAACAGTTTCAGATAGTAAGAGATGCTATGAAAAAAAAGTTATATGGAGAGATATGTCAAAGAAAACCTTTTTCTTTCTGAAATGAAAAAAGCCAAGTGCAGAGACCCGGGGGCTGACCGTTCCAGACAAGATTATAGGGCCGAGCCCATGGCGCACTCAGGAGAGTGCGGCGCTGGGAGCGCAGCAGCGCTCCCGCCGCGGGTTCAGATCCTATATAGGGATGACCGGTGCGCTCACAGTGCTCACTGGCTAAGCGCAGTGCGGCCGGTCTCAAAAAGGACAAAAAAAAAAAAAAGATTATAAGTGCCATGACTCTACCATTAAAAGCTTGTCACTCTTGGGCCGGCCCGGTGGCGCACTGCTACAGTGCACCGCTTGGAAGCGCGGTGGTGCTCCCGCCGAGGGTTCGGATCCCACATGCAGACCGGTTCCCGCTCACTGGCTGAGCGAGGTGTGGGCGCAACACCGAGGGTTGCGATCCCGTTGCCGGTCCCGGTCCGGTACGGGCGCGACACTGAGGGTTGCGATCCGTTGCCGGACACGAAAAAAGACAAAAAGAGAAAAAAAAAAAAAAGCTTGTCACTCTTGAGAAACAAAGAATATAGCTGGAGAGCCAGAAATGAAATATTAAATAATGGCCCTCCGAAAGATTTCCATGCCCTAATTCCTGGAACCTGTGAATATGTTTCCTTATGTGGCAACAAAAACGACTCTGTAGATGCACTTAAATTAAGGATTTTGAGATTAGGGAAACTATCCTAGATTATCTGGGTCACCCAACGTAATCACAAGGTTCTTATAAAAGTGAGGCAGGAAGATCAGAGAAGATGTAAGGATGGAAGTAGAGGTTGCATCTTAAAGATGAAGGGGCCATCAGCCAAGAAATGCAAGGGACTCCTATAAACCAGAAAAGGCAAGGAAATGTATTCTCCTCTACAGCCTTCAGAATAAACACAGGCCTGCTGACACCTTGATTTAGCCTAATGAAACTGGTTTTTGGGACTGGCTGGTTAGCTCAGTTGGTTAGAGCACAGTGCTGATAACATCAAGGTCCAGGGTTCAATCTCTGTACCGGCCAGCTACCAAAAAACCAGGGAAAAAAAAATAATAATAAAGTGCTACTGAAACTGATTTTGGACTTCTGACCTCTTGAACTGTCAAGATAATAAATTTAAGTCACTTAAGTTTGTGGTAATCTTATTGGTGCTGTCACAGCAGCAATAGGAAACTAATACATTCATTTAACAGAGTGCCTACTATATGTCAGGTACTGGGAAGGGATTAAACAAGGCCTGGCCTTACAAAGTTTACCACCTAGCAGAAGGGAGGCATGTACATGAGCAATGTTTTGGCTTCTTTAACAGCAAATCTGTATAGGAAAATAGTGGAAGCAGAAAGCTGTCTGTCTCCCCATGGATGTGGGACTCCAAAGACACCACAAAAGGCTGTCTCACAACCTGTAAATCCCTGTAGCACTCATTTCACTATATTTGTGTTGTCTGTCTTGCCCATTAGACTGACACACAAAAGCAGAGGCTATTTTCTGTTCACCATTGTACACCCACACTAAGTGCTCAAGTTACATTACATATTAAGTAGCATTTTGAGCACTTTAAGCCAGGCACTGCTGTAAGCATTTTACATGATCTGAAACATTTAATCTTCATTAAAATCCTATGAAATTAGGCATTATTATTTCCTGTTTTGCTGATTAGGAAACTGAAAGAGATTAATTTACGGGCCCAAGCTAGTGTGGAGATAGGATATGAACCCAAGCAGTCTGGATCCAAAGCCAGCACTCTTAATCCAGCTAACTGCAAATAAACCTTCAAAGAAAATACTAGGTAACACTGGTTAAAGGCCAGCAAGTACAACACAACTTTATGAAGACTAGGATAGCTAGGGGAAGACCTACTAGAGGAACTTGGAACTCTGAAGGGTAGGAAAGAAATAAACATGGGAGATAACTTTTTTTTTTTTTGGTGTAACCTACTGGGTGCCCAGACTCAAAGTTTGGTTGGGCCCTCTACTGGAGGATTTCTTGCAAGCAATGACCCCCCATTTGGAGAGAGGTGGGTTTCCCAAGTAAAACAAAATAAAGTATTAACCTGCATTTGAATAGGTTTCAACAGTTCTCAAAACATTTTCATACCCACTATCTTTAGTCCTCACAATCCTCATATGAAGGCTAATTAGTCCACTTTACTCCCTAGGAAACTAACAGCTAAAGTTGGCACCTGACAGCAAGGCTATAAGCTTTTTCTATTTATCCCCTCTCTGAAACTGCCTAGGTTCCTCAACTCCCCTGCAAGATCTTCAGGGTTCTCTATGGCTATCCTGGATCTCTACAACTCCTCCGTTTTCTCATCCTCTAGTCCTCTGGCCTCAGGCCCCAGTTGGAAAATGACTTAAATGGAAAATGGCAGAATTGAATTTCCAGGACTTAAAGTGGAATTGTGTCTGCTTTGTCCATTTCTTAGATATCCCTCAGAATCTTAGATATCCCTCAGAATCTTCCTATTCCCTCACCAGCTCAAAAAGTTTTGCTATCGGGTAATAATGTGTCAATGTAGGTTCATCAATTGTAACAAACTTATCATTGTGGTGGGAGAACAGATAATGGGGAAGGTTCTACTTGTGTGGAGACAAGGTGTATGGGAACCCTGTGCATTTTCTGCTCAGTTTTGCTGTGAGCCTCAAAACACACTAAAAATAACAGTAATTAAAAAAAATGCTCTACTAAATACTTCCAGCCTGTATATAGAGTGCCACTTTTATTATTTCTATCCCAATGAGGACTTCCTACACTTCACTCACCCACTCACACACACCTAAGTTAGCAATATGCCATCTGTACCTCATTCCATAACTGGATAGTTGGCCCTCTGTATCCGTGAGTTCTGCATTCAGATGCAACCAACCATGGATTGAAAATATTAAACAAAAAATAGTATAGTATAACAACTACTTACATACCATTTATATTTTATTAGGTTATTATGAGTAATCTAGAGATGATTCAAAGTACAAATACGGAGGATGTACATGGGTTCTATGCAAACATATCATTTTATATCAACAACTTTGAGCATCTGCAGATTTTGGTATCCAAGGGGGTCCTGGACCAGTCCACGCAAACACCAAGGGATTGTATTCTTAATCCTCACAAAGGCCACTATGGCCCTCATTATTCTTCTAAAACCTGGAAGCCAAACAGGTTCTAACATCATCTGAGCCACGCCTACCTTTCAGGATACTGGATGTGCAAAGACTAGCTGTACTCTATACTTACCTACCAAAGCAGTAAAACAAAATAGGCTATTTCAAAACTTAAACTCTTTGGCTCCACCTAGAGATTAATGTACTTTTTTTTTTTACATTGATCTAACGGTTCACAAAGACAAAAAAATTTCTGGCAGAACATGGGTATACCCATAAACACAACATGATTTTTATAAACTAAAGTATCTTCTTGATTTCTCTACAGAACTCAGACCCTGAAGAAACTCACTAACCCAGAATAGATTCCATGATCAGGAACAAAGAACCCAAAGAAATTCTATATATACTTATCAACTTTCAAATATTAAAAAGTAATTTATGACTGTGATACAATAGTGCCAAAAGACTTAAGAGATCTGTTTCACACTGCTTCAGATCCTGGGTACAATCAATGAGGACCACAAAAATATTTTATTTTTATTGTATGTACTTCATATTACATTCTACACTCAAAATGCTTCAGTTTACTAGTTTAGGTGAAAAGACATGGAAAACATACAGGAACATTAATTATAAAAATACCAAAACTTTCCATTTCAAGTTTCTGTTCATTAAAATCGTAAGTGTTTAAGATGCTCTCAAATAACTTTGCATCCATGAGCACAAATTTCATTTCTTCCTTTATAATTCACCTAAACATGGGCAAAATGCAAAACAAGAGCATAAAAATGGAATGCAAAAGGAAAACAACATATTTACACAGTAGTTTACAGGCAAGCCAAAGCCTGGCAAATAAAATTTCAACAACAAAATTTAATTTTTTTTTTTTTTTGACCAGTAAGGGGATCGCAACCCTCAGCACGGTGTGGTCTGCACCACGCTCAGCCAGTGAGAACACTGGCCATCCCTATATAGGATCCAAACCTGCAGCCTTGGCACTACCAGCACCGCACTCACCCTAGTGAGCCACAGGGCCGGCCCAAAATTTAATTTTTTTCATAAACCAAACTTTTATTCTCTTACCTACAAATCATGCATAAATGCCTGTGAAAAAGGATAAAAAGAATAAATCCATTTTGACTTGCTTGGCACAATTCAAAGGTGGAAAATTAAGATTTTTTGTAGAGAAAAGCCTTGAATAAACCCCAAATGTTTTTTTCACAAGACAGAAACTAGACCTCAATTTTGCACATAAGGGGATGTTGATATGGCATAATTTTATCACACACCAAGATTGCCACAATAGTTAAGGGAAGGCAGATGCAGGCCAACAAAAAAGTCACTGATACATTTCAATTTGAAAGTAGTCACTTTATTTAACTAAGCAGATTGCAAAAACAATCATGGCAGACACCTGAAAGGGAAAAAAATAAGCCCATTAAAGAAACACCCTAGCAGCTAAGAATTAACATAAATCATAGTTATAAGGAAGCTAACAATTCAATATCCATTTTTAAATAAATATGCAAAAATGGGCTTTCTTCCCTCCAGAAATGTCCTCACAAGAGTAACCAAACTGACTGCAATCATATACACTGTAATCATATAAAACAGCTGACTTTTCCCCCACTGAAAGTATTGTTTAAAATTCAACCAAACACCCATCAATATTTAGTGGAAAAAGTACGAGGGTACTTCAAAAAGTTCATGGAAAAATGGAATTGAAAGATATACAATTCTTTTAATGAACTTTTGGAAAACCCCTCATATTCAAGAGGACCGCTACTTTTGCCCTAGTATTAAGACAACTTCTTTCAGAATGCAGTCTCTCACCTTAGTTCATCCTTCTAATAAGCCTGTTGATCTGGTCTTCCCTGTTGCCAGCATCTCCACCTTCCACAAAATGAGTGGTCTTCTTCTTCATCCCACCCCGCGGAGAAGATAATTTGAAGGGCCACAGGAAGTTATTTGCTTCTTTGAAGCGCTTTCCAACAGTATAGATCTCATGAATCAGATCCTCCATGCAGATGATGCCATATTTACCTGAAAATTTTAATGTTATTTAAGGTTATTGAAGCTTTAAGGGATTATAAAATTCAAGCGCAGTTATAGGCTGAATTATAACCCAACAAGCGCAGTTATAGGCTGAATTAAAAGCAAACTGAGCAAACAATACAGAGGCAAATACACGGCTTTAGTTACAAAAGTTAAGGTTCAAGCCAATGAAATCATACCTTGCATTTTCCTCATACTTAACCTAGGATTGCATGAAACATGTGAATGTCCATAATGAGAAATGTAGGGCCACAAAGTGCCAGAAAATTAACACTTTGGTCTAATATCAACTATTTCCAAAATAAGCAGAACTTACCAAGAGATCGAGCAATCAAACTGTTATCTGTCAAGGCAATTCGCTTCTTATTGATTTTGCCATAACCACGCTTGTAGATTAGTTCATTTACTGACTTCAGGTTTGGGTACCTGAAATATAAAAAGCAGACATAAACGACCAAAGAACAAGGTTATCACTGTTAAAACATCTACAGCTTACTACGTATCCAATTTACCAAACAAATCAAAAGAAAAAAAGAGACTTACCCCCAAGCAATATACGGTTCCACAATCCTCAGCATGTTAATCGAAGCCTTGTTGAGCTTAACAAAGGTGCCGTTGAAGATCTGGCGAAGGCGAAGAAGCTGCAACACCTTTTGGACCTTTGGGCTCACACCATTGATACTACAGCGAAAAGGAACCAGTAAATTCATTTGGCTTTTACCAGAATTATTAATAAAGAACAGGAAGCTAAGCATTATAACTTTGGACAAGACACAAGTCCCACCTAAACAGATAGGAATACTCGCATGTTACAAAAGATCCAACACCACTGGTGGACACTGAACCCCTCCGGTACTCAACTAGAAAATGAATAGCTTTTGGCACAGGATTTGCAACTAAACCATTAAAATGATTACACCCCCACCCTTTGTTCTCGCTATTGTCAAAACACTATTATTGCAATGTTTCAGAATCAGGTCTCCCAAAAGTAACAAAGTTTTGCTGAGATTGTATAACTTTCCTTTTAAAGCCAGAAAACAATAAAAACTGAACTTACCCTCTGATCCTGATGACAAATGCCAATTTGGGTTCTGCAGGTACATAGAAGTTGCCAGCTTTTCTTGCCATCCTAGCCATACGAATCTCAGTTCTGTACATCTGCCTATATTCCTTGTGATAGTGCTTAGCTTTTTCATAGATAAGCTTCCTCCTTGCTTTTCGAAGCTGGAAACCAATTATCAGTTATTCATGACTTTTAGCTCCCAACCTCAAATAGCAATAACATAAAAAAAGTCTTCCCTTGAAACCTTTTTCTTGCCAAGGTATGCCATAACATTCCAAAAGACGGATACCTTTGTCTTAGAACGTCACATTAGGAAATTAAGCAGTTGTCTGGGACAGTACTGAAGTAAACAAGTCTTGCTTAGAACATCTCTCCTCCCTCAATCCCAACCACAAGGCCTCTTCTTACCTGCCTCAAGAAGTTTACTCACCATCTTTAGGGCAAACTTCTTTCTCAAGCGCTTGACCTTCAGCTCTGCGAAATTCCTTCGCTTTTTCTTAAGGGTTTCCGGCACAGCAGGAACCTTCTTTTTCTTCTCTCTGGCATTAGCAAACAAGAAAATGTTATCAGCAACTCAAAAAGCTAACAGAGCTGTATTACTGCCATTCTGTACTGACCACTTTGTTGTTTAAGTGTTGTCGCTGGCTCAAAGCAATGCTATCCTTAGCTTCTCTAGCACGCTAAAGTGTAAGAGAGACTTCAGAATTTCTCCATACCAATTACCTTCGCCTTTAACACGGACCACTTTATTTCAACGGCAATCACAAATTTAACAATAACAATAAATTTACATATAGTCCGGCCTCAGTCCCAGCCTCCGACAAGGAAAATATCCACAGCAAAGAAACGTTACTTTTTGAAAACTTTTTGACTGAAAAGTTACAGCAAGACACTGGCCCCTAGATTTCTTTAAAAAGGCCACCAACACCAAGGTTCGAGTCTCAAGCTCCACATGCTAAAAGCAAAGCCCTAACGGCAGAGACGCCTGAGCCTCGTGCCAGCCACGGGCGAACCCAACTTTGAGATTCTGCACGTCCCTCCAAAGACCCTCAACGGAAGACTGGACCGCCGGCCAACCGCACACCTGGTTCCCGAAATCTCCAAAACCTCCGCCCCAATGCCGCCCGCATCCATCCTAGCCTGGTGTCCCCACTGGTGTCGCAGAGCGTCACAAACACATAGATAAATGAGCAAAGGTACAAGCTACAGTCACATAAGGAGAATGTGAGGCAAAACGTCTCTGGTATCGGGGATGGAGAAGGATTCTTGAGACAACGAAGAGCAACTTACTCGACACCTTCCATGATTCCACCCGGAAAAGAGGAAGTCGACGCATGCGCTCTGTCCACTTAAAGACAGCGAATGAAGCCCCACGACTCGTAGGTGTCCTAGGATAAGCCAGAAAAGTACCCAGAACTGAGAACCTGCCTTGCAGACGCAAAACTAAGAACTGTCTGATTTAGCCTCTTCCAATCAACTTTCGGTAAAATTTGTATGGTAAAAATATATGCGTTGATTAGACTTTTCGATCAATTCAAGAGCAAAGAATGCTGACACCTTGACCACTCAGGGTCCTAATCCCTCGGATGCGTTGACAGGATTAGGCTCGAGTTCCACTCGGACGACACGCCTCCTGGATGCGAACTACAAATCCCGCCATGCATCACTCCATCGCCCTCCCGGCGACAGGGCAACTCCTGACCCGGACTGGACTATAGGCAACACTGCGGTGGTGATTACAGCCAGGAAAGTGAGAGCCTTTTGGGCCAAGTTCCAAACGGCTAGCTGCAATCGAAGTCACTTTTGGCCGCCTTCCTGGCTGTCTGCCCACCGTAGTCACAGCCTCCAGCATCCCTTTGCCGCGCCGCCGAGGTCCTCCTCGTCGTTCCCCCAGCCTGCAGGGCTGTCTTCCGCAGCGCCTGATCGCAGGCAGGGCGGTCTGGACTCCCCTGCTTAACGAAAGTGGCGACGCAGGGACAAGCGAGGACCGGACGGCCAGAGGAGGATGGCCAGGGCTCAGCCGACCGCTGGGCTCGGCAGGCGGCGGCCGGGACAGCACACGGCAGGGGGCGTGAGCTGCGAAGGGAGGTGCGCCGAGGGCTGGAGGCTGCGGCCACGGCCATGTGAGAGGGGCTGCCCCGCGCGGCTCGGCGGAGGCCTGGCGGGGGGGGGGTCGGGCCGCGGGCGGG